CAGACTTGGCCCTCCGGGCTACTAAGCAGGCAGCCTCGGCCATGGGCAGAGCGATGGCTGCTATGGTGGTGACGGAGCGGCAGTTGTGGGTGAACTTGGCGGACATCGGGAAGAAAGAAAGGGGCTTTCTTCTCGATGCCCCGGTTTCGCCCTCTGAACTGTTTGGCACCTCCGTTGAGACGGTGGTCGACAAATTCAGGGAGGCGAAGTCGCGCACAGCAGCGTTCAAGTCCTTCATACCACGAAGGCCCAGGTCTGAGCCCGAACAAACCAGGGGTCCTGGCCCGTCTCGGTCTGAGGGTCAGAGACGGGCGCAGAGGGCTAGTGTCGCGACTCGCGCCCCGCCTCCACCTGTGGGTGGGGGTAGGAGGTATCGTGGGTCGAAGGGGGGCAGGCGAAACCCGAGGGGGGAGACCTGGGGAAGGCACCAGCGCTTTCGTCCGGGTCAGAGTAATACCTAGGTATTCACTCTCTCCCGTAGGGGGTACAACATCTACCCTGTTCTCCCCTTCTTTCTAATTCCCCCTTCTATGACCACCATCTCCAGCTGACCGAGGTTAGCTGTACAATAATTTTCAAACAGTCTCCTACTGGGCCCATGATGTTTTTGGTGGTTCTATGGCCAGATCATAGTAACCGCCTGACTGATGGTCCGGTCAAAAGATCCCCGGACGGAGCTCCGGCAACAGGCCTCGTGGGTGAGTATGATCCATATATCATGAGAGCATGTATACTAATGGGAGACTGAGGTGGTCATGTGTAAAAATAACCTTAGAGAATGTATAAAGGTACCTGCAGCACGGTCAGTGCAGAAGTCATGGGGGTGAGTACGATCCAAATATCATGATATATGTATATTGAGGACGGACTGAGACGGCTGTGTATCCTTCTATAGTTCCATTTGCAGCGTTTCCTGGGACCTGTACGTTATGTCCCCGCCTGACTGATGGTCCGGTCAAAAGATCCCCGGACGGAGCTCCGGCAACAGGCCTCGTGGGTGAGTATGATCCATATATCACGAGAGCATGTATACTGATGGGAGACCGAGGTGGTCATGTGTAAAGATAAAGGTACCTGCAGCACGATCCGGTCATAAGAGCCTCGGAGCAGAGCTCCGGTACAGAAGTCATGGGGGTGAGTACGATCCAAATATCATGATATCTGTATATTGAGGACGGACGGCTGTGTGTGCGTAACCTGCTATAGTTCCATTGCAGTGCTTCCCGGGACCTGTATGTTTCTGTCCCTTGCTAGACGCCCTCGGTGAGGTGCCGTTGCTGGGCTCAGAAGCCAGGTGCTCTACTTGCAGTAGGTGTTCACTCGTCGACATATGTCCAGGTGGGGGGAAAGAAAGCCGGGCTCCGGCTTCATACCTCCTGGATCATGCGGCCGAACACGGGTTTTTGCGGGAGCCTTCGTAAACATCAGGCCCCCGGGGCTACGCTGCGATGCACCCGGACTGGGCTACAGTGCCTGGTCGCCCCGAGGGGCTTCCTGGCCACCGGCGTATTCCGTCTTGCTGAGGCAACGAACGGGAGGTACAGGGGGCATCACCAGGATCCTCCTGTGTAAGGCTGTCTTAGGCAGAGCTCCCATCACCACTGAGATGTGTGAGCCGGCCGCTTCCAGCTGGCCGATATGGTCGGGTTTCCATGAACTTAAAAACCAGATAATATGGTAAGATGTCCACGTTAAGCAAGGCTTTGCACATTTCTCTAAATCCACGTGAGTGGTAAATGTGCACGTGAAGCTTTGCGCATTTTTCTAAAATCCACATAGCTGGTAGATGGGCACGTGTTGCTTTGCCCATTTTCTAAAAATTCCACGTAGGTGGTAAATGGGCACGGGATTCTTTGCCCATTTCTCTAAAATCCTGTGAAGGTAAGGGTTACGCGTGCTGTCTTCGTTCCCTTTGTTTCAGAGTGGGGTAACACCACGGTACCCTGGGTCCCACTCAAATGGTGTGTCTTGGTCGACACACCCTGGAGACATCACTCCTCTGAGGAGGGTGCTGGAGCTGCTGTTCCCGACCGGCCATTACGTCCGGGTGACATAGAACCCTAAGGAAATCCGGAGATTAGGGTAAGAGTGCTCATATTGCGCACCTTCTAAAATCCACATGAGTGGTAAGTGTGCACGTTATCCTTTGCCACTTTCTAAAATCCACGGAAGTGGTCGGTGGGCACGTGAGGCTTTGCCACCCGTCTAAAATTCCACCCAGGTGGTAGGTGTGCACGCTATGCTTGTCACTTCTCTAAAATCCCACGAAAGTGGTAGGTGCGCACGTTCTTCTTTGCCCACCTCTCTAAAAATCCTGTATGGTGA